TTAATAATTGTAGTAACGACTTACTCCTCTATCGGATGACAGTTTTCTGCGATTAGACAGATGAAGTCATCGTGAGTACCTGTGGACACTGTATAAAGTAACAGTTTGCACGGTTCGGGGATGAGAACTACCAAGTGCATGAACAGAACACAGTATCTAATCCATTTAGAGTAGCCTAGATTTGTGCAACATCCACCTCGTTCTCTGTTCCCACAAGCAAATGCGTTCCAGTGACAGGATAGAGTTAAGATGGCTGGATACGGCGTGGTCTTAGTGGTTGTCGAAACTAAAGTCCCCTCAAGGCGTACCGCACACGAACTGCTCTCTAACTCCATGTAAACGAGGCGTTAAAGAAAGGTCTCGGAGCAGAGCTTCCGCAAAGGCCATTTTAAGAAGGAGTTATTTCTGTCTGAGCCACCGCCCTGGATGGGGGCAACTTATCTCTTCTATGCTACGACTGCTAACTTGTCATGACAGGTTAGAAGTACTTTTGGTTGTTGTTAGTGAGTTAGGTAATAGTCAGATCTGATTTAAATCTACATAATTCCTTCGTCCCTCTCTTATATGCCGGTAGCCAATCTGTGTCCTGATTGGCCGTCATGAGATTCGGTGCTGCGCGCGTCGTGACTTTAAGCTGTGTGCAACGACAGCCACACACAGGCGAGAGAGGGGTCCCTAAAACGAGGAAACTGTAGTTTGACTGTCGTCCAAAATTACCAAGTTTTCTCTTCAGCTGCCAAAATTCAGAGCCACAGAATCTGAATTGTCATGGTAGACCGGACGGCGAGAAATGCGTTCGCGCATACTAAGGATGGATTCCTCGGTGTCGGTTTCACTCTCTTTTCCCTCCTCTATGCACCAGTCTGTTTTCCGTGTCTGGCGGTGAGACAGGATTCAGTGACTGACGTTAAATGAAGTCCTCGCTTATTAAGTGTCATAGTCTTGTTTGTTCCCTCCTCCACATAATTAATTTTCTTTAAATTATGTTTCCCACATCCACACATACGACGTTTCGCCCGTGTCCCCGGTTCCGTCAAATTAGATTATGTGAACGCTTTGTAAGTGGTGCCTTATGTTTTTCCGACAGCTTTAGTGTATAGGCACGTGCCAGAACAGACCCATGCTCTATCCACTTTTATGTGTGTGTGTGTGTGTGTGTGTGTGTTTGGGCCCACATAATAAGCTGTGTAAAGGCGCACTGAACGAAAACGGGAGCGAAGGTGGCTTGCGGTACGCTTTTATCGGGCTGCGATGAATCCGCAAAAACCCACAACTAACGGGGTGTGATGGTACGTCCAAACGTAGACTCTCACGCCGCTTCAGGCACCGAGCCAAATCCCGGCACCAGATGTCTGACAGACAAAGGTTGCCGACTGGTGCATAGGCGAGGGAACAGTGAGTGATGATGAGACAAGGAAAGCACACCTTATGACACATCTGCACCACGACGCACCAAATGTGTCGCGACGTGGAAAGCTGCCAGCTGACGGGATCAATCAGTCCTGCTTAGGACTGAGAGTCAGGTCGAAACGACTTCTTGATGTGGCCCTGATGACACTGTCACACATATAAGCTCCGAGTTGCCCTTTCAGAAGCCTGGTACGTGTGATGAGGACCACGCCGTGTGTCATACGCGTTGACAGGCTACTTGAACTTGATAGTCACTGCGCCCGCGCGCACCACTGGTGACCTTGTCTTGTCATCGGAGCAAGGTGGGTGGGGCAAGAGGGGGTGCGACAGGTGCTGTGCAAGCCTGCATCACCACAAACTAATTTACGTGCAAGTCACGGTCTATTCCTCATTTCGTTGAAAGGCATGCCGTGGATGCCGTCACTCGTGATGGTCGTACTGTCGTGCAGAGTTGGATGAAATAAGGTTGGCCTGGACTGTGCTGTCTTGCTGAACGTTTACACGCATGCACATGGAGCCACATAGACCTATACGAGGTCTAAAGTCTCCCCGTGACGGCGTTGGCAGCGAAGGCCTGTGCGGCGGGTGTTTTTCGGGTCTCCGAGCACTGGTTCTTCAGTCGTACTACGATGGAATTACAGGCGACCGATTATGTCGATATGGGGCTTGAATGTGCGGTCATCACGGGAACAGACTGACACTGCAGCTAAATTGCTGGGCATTCATTCTGATTAGGGTGTTCTTGTTGTGGTGGATGCAAAGATATCCAGCAGAGGGAAACAGTGCTGTAACACGGTGGTAAAGTGAGGACAAACCGGAAGTGGGGGGGGGGGGTTGTCTACAGCGATGGCGCCGATGCAACGTCTGTCATTTTCCCTGCATCTGTTGAAATATCGAGGCAAATCTGTTTAGGAATTGAGACCTACCGGGACTACAGACTTTTGGAATTTACTCGGCGTTCAAAGTTTCTTGCTTTGGGCATCTGCTACATTGCCTTGGCTGTCTCCTGCAGAAGAAACCAGCGGGATGCGAATTGGCTGCCGCTAAAGGAAGTCTGTCGATGACGGACTTGAACAACCATCGAAGTACTGAGCCCTGTATTGAGAAGTACATGATTCTCTGACGGTAGGATTGTACGTTCTGAGACCAACAGCAGCACAGTCACTTTGGACTTTGAGATGTTGCTGTGGCTGCAACTTATAGTCTGTTCCACGCTGTTTTCTGCGCCTTTAAAAATTACAATAATTTACCCTTTGACCAAATAACTCAGTTTGGGGAGTTGGCATGATCTTGTTTCTTTGCCATGCCTGTTGGGGGTTAGGGTTGGGGTTAGGTGTCACTGGTCAGGGTTTAGAGTGAGGGCTGGAGTTGGGGGTTACGGTTAGGCGCTGGGGTTATGGGTTAGGGTTAAGGGTTGGGGTTAGGGGTTAGGCTGGGTCTTGTCTACTGCAGGTGCGGCTACGAAATAAAATCCGGCCGGAAAGTTAACATACTTGCCTCTGAACGGCATCCGATCGGTTTGTTTGTTTCGTGGCCTCACGGAGTATTAACGACCCACAATAACCTGTCAGCTCAGAAGCATTCAACCCTTCCTGCCATTTGAGTTATCCGAATGCAGATCGTCTTTAAATGTTTAGGCAGTTCGACTCATCGCAGTTTTATTATCGCAACAGACCGCCTTGACCCTGTTCATGATAACCACTCATCAGCGACAAAGATCCCAACATGTGTAGCGAGTTCACTGCGCCCAGCTAAACCTCAATCTGTGTAAGCTCAAAGCAGGGTCAGGATTTGCGCTTGTACTTAAAAAAACACATCAAAACTACCATAAAACTAGGATCGCGTATTCGACAGGTAAATCTACCAAAACGCACCTTCAGCCAACAACACATATGTGCCGTTATCGAAAATGGAATTGAGACTTCTATGCAACAGGGACATGATTTTATGCAGCTTATGGAATTTGTTTTCGATGAAGTATAGGCAGTTACTCCGTCTTGAACATGGAAAATATGACTGACGCTATTCCCAACAAGCCCGTCTCCAAGTTACGTAGGAAGGCGTCTCAGCATCGTACGTGTTCACTGATGCATCGCCCCCCCCCACCCCAAAGGTAACTGTTTACCGTACTAATACCTGTGTTGTTATTATGATAAATAGTTACACATTTATACACTACTGACTGCCTGTTGGCGGTTTGCGAATATTACGCCGTTATTCCGCAGTAGCTGACGGATTTCAGCTCAAATATTCATATAAAATTTCGGACCGTGCCTGAGAAGGTCTTTTCTGAAAGATTCGGTCTAAGTTCGCGAATTTACTTCCTCGGAAATTAAAAGAAGCAAGTTGAAACTGGAGTTCAGATACCAGACACCACACGGGGAAACCTGGAGGACCCACTGATGAGCCGAATCCCTCGCAGCTGCGTCAGGCAGCGGCATAAGATCGGCGAAACACGCGTGTCTGGGCTTTTAGTTAATGCGTGTTATAAATACTGTAGATAATTCCACAATTAGGCACTGGATGTCTCACTCTATATCAGACTATTATTGAACAGGGATTAACCACAATCTGGAGGAGCCTAACCAATGTCACTTTTGATCCCCTGTAACTTCGGAAGACTTAACCTTGAAGTCTATTTAAAGACTCACAGTGATATGAGAGTGACCTGCAGGTGAGTGTCCGCTTTGTAAGTACGAGAACCGCCAAGGCTGTTGCCAAAGGCATTTTCTGAAGTCAGAAATATAAGGCTACGTCTTTCGGAACTATCGGATTTGCAAAGTCCATGTCTTGGCGGTAGTTTGTTTTTACTCTCAAGATGGAGGAAGGAAGGTATCTTGACTGTGCCTCTTCGTTAGTGAAACAACACTGTTACGCAAACGAGGTTGATCGATTTCAGCTTCAAGTACAACCCTACGACTGCGTATAATCAACCTTTGGAGAGTGCTGAAAAGCGGTCTCTTCTGCATTTGCATCATGGCTTGACGGCCTAATGCTAAAGTTAGACTACCGGACCTAAAAGGATCTCGTATTTAACAATGTTTGCGACCATTTTGTCCGCGATACGAAACTCACTTTTGCCTCAAACGTTATGGGTGACATACTTTTATTTTTGAGAGCTTACGACTCAAAACCTATATCTGTTGAGAAGCGAGTCTTAAAATTGAAGAGAAGAATTCCCTCGCAGGGCAAATTTAAACGCCAGTCTCTTTTTACTCGGTTGACGTGTTTAGAATTTAAAAGGCGCATTCTGATTGGTCGGATGAGAACGAGAGCAGTGATGATTTGGTGCGCCTCTTAAATATTTTCTTGTAAGCAGTAAATGATCCGCTTTCAGCCTAGGTAGAAGTACTTTTATCCAACCAAGAAAGTCTCGCTATATAACCCCGTAAAAGAACGAATTCCCAATGAAGAAAGCGCATAGTGTTGGCTGCTGCCCACCCATCAGCACGCCGTGATTGGCTGATTCGCGGCTGGAAGCGGCCATTCACGTAGTCTTTGGTTCGGGTTTGGTGGACCGCTTAGAACGCCTCCGCGCGCTTATTTAGCTGAATTAGATAAGCGGCTTAGTGCAGAGGAATACTAGACGGATGCCTTTGCCAGCTGTTGTAATTTTCGAGGATAATGAGCCCCTCTACCGGGCATGCCCGGCACTGAGTATCATAAGACAAGAAAACAGCGTTCCTGACGTTCAACTAAGGGTAGGCGGTATATTCCCTGTCAGCGAGAATAAAAATCGCAGTTGAACGACAAGCATGTAATCAATGTCCACAGGATCATAATCGCCGCCCGGATTCCCGGCTGGAAAGACCATTTTGGAGGGCCCGTTGAAGGTGGCATTATCTCGTTTGGGGAACAGACGCACAAACAAAAGTACTCCCTCTAGCGGCTTCGGTTATAACAATTTTTCGAAGCATAATCAAAGACCTCATCGACTATGCTTATACCGGACAAATCGAAATATCACTTAAAAACGTGGAAGACCTCCTGTATTATGCGGTGAATTTGGGCCTCATTCAGGTCGAGAAGTGTTGCTATCGTTTTCTGACCAACCGGTAGGAGGATTTACTTCCAGCATTTGAGCTGAATTTCTTACCTACATTCCAGTCTTACATTAGAGAACCTTCATTTTGTGATGCGCATTGCGAACAACGTGCAGGCCAGTGTTTTGCAAAGTGCCTGCTACAACCTAATGAGGAATCAATTTGAGAATTTTGTTGGTCTCGATGTGTTCTATCATCTGTCATTGGAAAACCTCTTATACCTTCTGAGGAGCAACAACCTTGGAGTTCATAGTGAAGAGCAAGTCGTTAATGCAATATGCGACTGGGTTCTTGCAGAAGGCTCGCACCAGACTGGTGAGGCCTGTGCTGAGAGCCGCATGGACGCCCTGCCGCAGTTACTGGCCGAAGTACGTTGGCAAAATGTCGGCAGCGAGTTTCAGTCTGATCTACTCCGAAGGCGTTCTCAACTTGAAAAATATTCTCGGGCTAGGTAGGGTTAAACTCCTCAATTCTGAAATGTTCAGAAAACTACTGAACGAGATGGAAAAGTGGATTGACCTTGCTCATAATGATACCACAGGAACAACGGCAAAAATGCACCCATTTAATTCCTCTGATCGGTTCTATATGGAGAACGTCTTGGTGACCATTGGCACGCCGAGGCTTGGAGACCGGCGAGAATGGGTTCTGCAAATTTATGATCCGGAAAATGATAAAGATGCAATAATTAGTCGCATTAAGCGGCGTAAAAACGCCTCAGTCGTCATGTATGATGGTAAGCAACCCAGTTGCATCTAAGTAAATCATAGATCTGTCAATTGCACCTTTGGACTTACTGCTACAGGTAGTCGGCATCTCGTTAGAATCACTCACATGCTTATTTATTCCTAAACGAAGCTGACACGACTAATTTCTAAATAGATCAATTTGGTGACCCCTCCCTAGTCACGTCGTTGGAAAATTTAGAATTTTCATGCAAATTCACTGAATTTCGAATAGATTAGTAGGCGCAGGCCGAAAGTGACGCGATATGTATAGTGGAAAAAAGCGCAGCTGTAGAATAATTCCGGAAAATACTCAACACGTGATGTTTTTGTATTTCTTATTATATTCCCCGCAGATTTTAGTGTTTTGGTCTAAACATACACTAAACCTCTCAATCCCTCCTGTAGGCCTGCCAAACAGGAGGAAAGATAAATGGTCTGACGGGGAAATCGATGTTAACTTAAGTGTTCTCTAAGATTCTGCATTGTTACTATTTTTAGATGATGCTAGGATATTAGGCTTCCTTGTGGCGCACAGCTTCACCTTGTGAGGAAGTTGTGCTGCCTTAATTTATTAAACCTTAATGACATGCTTCGGACATTCACGATGCAACCGTGCGTAAAAACACGAAGCTCATGGCCTAACTTCGCGCATCACCTTCCCTTCAATTCAGTTACCTGTGTGGAGTACTGCTTTTGAACTTTCTTTAAATAGATCAGATCTATATAATCGGAGGAGTTGTTGGGGATCGTAATACAAACATGGTGAAAGCCTTCAGTGTGAAAACTCATCGCTGTCGGTTGGCTGCTCCAATGTCAGTGGCACGTGGTGAGGCCACTGCCTCCAGGGTCGGTGATGCGATCGTGGTCTGCGGAGGGAGTGGTGTCGAATGTGAAGAAGTGGCGTCATGCGAACTGTTTATACCGAAGGAGGATAGGTAGGTGCATTCAGATTCTCTTTAAAGCTACTAAAATGTAATATGTGGCATTTGGAGCCGGGCTATTTGCGAAAAACCAAGTTTGTCCTGCTAATTTTTTAAATTATTGACCCCAACATATCGTCTAACCCTGAAACGTCATGTCTAGGACACTTATCTCCATGTCCTGCCTTTAATGACTTCTGTAATTGTTCTTTTGATGCTCCTCTGGAGTTCAAATGCCAGAAAATTCTTGGTGAACGTTGGGGACACACTGAAGGGCAGAACGCCTCACAGCATACGGCACCGAAACATCGGTGAAACACAATTCTAGGCTTTTACCTAATATTAATACTGGGAGTGCGGTAAAACATCTTTGGTGCCCAAAATTTATACTTATTGAAGTGCTGCTTGGTTGTGGAATAGGCATTTAGTGGTCATTCCACAAAAGTCAGATGTCTCTAACTCAAATATTTATGGAAATTTCAGGCCTGACACTAAAGGAACCATCCTCTTACATCTATAATCCTGTCCCACCGGGAATAAGCTCTGAAATTATTAACTTTGTATATATATATATATTCATGGATGTTTTGGCAGATTTTTGAAGTATTCATATTGACCCAACTGTGAAAAACTCGGCGCCTCGGTGGGATTCGAATCCACGCAGTAAGGGGAAGGCTTTAGCGCAGCCAACGCTCTAACCACCTGAGCTACGAGGCCCCGCCGGACGACGCGGGTTTAATCACATTTGGGTCAAGTTACCCGCCCAACCTACTGCAACGTCTGGAATCCACCAAATCTGATACAGTAAGTTGACTGCCCAAGCAGGATTTCCTAAGTACTTCACCTAGAATCCACCAGATGACTACCAGGCTCGCGTAATTCATGGATGTTTTGGCAGATTTTTGAATTATTCATATTGACCCAACTGTTAGAGCGTTAACTGCGCTAAAGCCTTCCCCTTACTGTGTGGGTTCGAATCCCACCGAGGCGCCGAGTTTTTCACAGTTGGGTCAATATGAATATATATATATATAATGGTAGAATGACGCACATCAGTCGCGTTACGGAACTCACTCATTCTGTTGTGCTTTGGGGCTCTCTCTCTCGAGTTCCATCATCAGCCACATGATATGTGCAGAATGGCATTACCGACAAAGAAAAGTATAGTTTCTGCATGCTGTACGAAAGAAGTTCGTTGGAAAGCCAGCATCCGGAGTTGAATGAACTATTATAGAATTATGCTGCATGATGATCAGTTCTACAAATCTACTTAAACATGTTTTTCGAAACGAAAACGCATTTCGGAATTTCGGCTGACATTTGATGAGTTAGCCCACCTACTGTATATGCTCGATTGCAATTGACAGGCGAAAGGGCCCGTGGCGCAGCGACTAGGGCTTTGGACTTATGACCGACAGTTCGCTGGATCGAGCGCCAGGTATAAATACTCGGGCTGATGACAGCCAATAAGTCAGGAATGGCCGTCCCAGTCTCCTTTGTCCTTATCGGCGGTGTAACTTTGCATATATACATGTGTAAATTGGGTGCGTGCAGATCGGTACTGCCTTTCCCTCGAGCGCCCCTTGTCAGGGTTAGGATATTCTTTATTTTTTGTATCCTGAGAATTTCTCGATCTTCTGCTTCAGAAATCATCATCTGGGATTTGTGATGGACAAGAAAGGATGACGCCCGTTGCCGCATGGCGTGTTTGCATTCTTCATTTGCCTCGCACTTCTGCAGTGCATATTCAGAGGATGCCAGTAAGTCTTCTGGTCGAGCAGCTGTCATGCTAAACTTGATGACACGAAACTCAGCACGAGAAATGCTCGACCAGAAGACTTCGACGGCCAAGGATGAACATTCTGGTCTTGTCTTTTTCAGCATCACCTTATCTACCGTTTACCGCTAGTAACTTTTCAACTGCCCGCGAGGATTCCAGTCTAAGCTCCAAGGCAAAACGGAGCAAATAAGTCCAGTTAACGAGACTTACAGGTCCATGGGATTCAATCTAGAGCCCCCAAAAGGTCTCAGTGGGGATGGGTGTGGATGGGTACTGCATTATTCTAGCTTTATCCCGTCTTCTTTCGTCACTAATAATCTTGAACACCACCAAAACCTAAAAATAAAAGTATGCGCACCCGCAATGCAAATGGTCCACATTTGGCAGAACGACCAAATGGCATCTAGAAATCATTTATCCAAATTTCACACGTATTACAACAAAATATAAATAGCTGCGACATTCAAAGTTATCTTTGCCAGAAAATGTAATTGAACACCATTAGGTGTTTGCTTACCATAACACATCAGTTTTTAAATGTGTAACGTTCAAAGATGTTAAATTCACATAACTATTCAAACAAGAAGTAAAAAGCGCCGTCTGCCTTTTAAAGTTTAATAAACCCTTCCTTAGCATCGATTATAGATTTGTCTCAGACATCGGACAGCCAATAAGAACTCCCTCATCAAAACACCTCTTGTTACTCTGTGATTTAGTTAGCTGTTTATCGTTCCTACTGGACTGGGGACTGACGATCGACCGACTTTCACGCTGATGCTTTATATTCACATGCATAAATTTCACTCAAGATGGATTCCCATGCCTCCCCTCCACCAAGCGCGACGGGCGTCGGCCTCGGTTGCCACTGCTGATGGGCGACTTTTCGTAATTGGCGGACTTGGGGATTCTGAGTACTTCTCGTCTGTGGAGTACTGCTATGTACCAGAAGAGCTGTCAGAAACCGGCCAGTGGAAGGCTGAGGAAGTTGGCAGTTTTTGGCAGTCAGCAGCTCCCATGAACAGGGCACGCTCCTTTCTGTCCGCGTGTGAACACGCCGGCCACATCTTTGCGGCCGGCGGTCTCTCGCACAGCAGCACCGTCGTAAGGTCTGTTGAGATGTTCCAGCCTCCAACAGTCGAGAACGCCCTTGGACAGTGGACCCTTGTACAGTCCATGAACCAGGCCAGAGAGGAGTTCTCGCTCATCTCCCACAAGAACAGCCTTTTTGCGTTAGGTAAGTAGTCGCAGGGTAATTTAAATTATTTTCGGGATTTGCAAAGGGGCTGAACGCGGAAATATGGGTCTCCCGTATTGCAGGAGGTCTTGCCCTAAAATTCCGGAGGGGTTAGGGTTGGGGTTGAGTTCATGCGGATCAGTGCTAGGGTTAAGGTAAAAATTACGATTTGGATAGGGGAAGCCACTTGAATTTTGCACGACACCACCTGTGATACTTGAGGGAGGATCCATATTTTCCTATCCGACCTACGAAGGTTTTAAATACCGATGCTGCCTTTCAGTCGAATATATCAAACATCTGCTCGCTTGTAGTGAATTTCACATATTCATTTGTGGACTAGTGCTGAAGATGGAATAGCCTAATGCCACTTCGCTAGTATGCCTCTCGTCGGAAAACTAGGACGTTTTGCTAAGGATTTGGTTTTATTTTAAGTCCTGAAGTCTTTTTGATATTTCCTTAATATTTTATCCGCACGACTTTAACAGCAATCAAATTTGAATTGTTGCGTAGATGGAAAGTTTTAATCGACTGTATCTGTAAAACAAGATAGCAAAGTAAAAAAGTGCCTTCGCGCACATTTGGATCGACAATATTTTCATTGAAAACCTACCTTCAGGCCACTCTCAAAAGTTATCTCAGCCGATCCGTTCTCAAAGACACTGACACTTAGAAGCAGAGTGAACTGGCCGGATAGGTACTATTTCAAAATACTAACAGCATTCAATCCCCAGCGATGCTACCAAAAGAGTTGTCGACCCTTGGAAAGGCATATATCTGTTTGGCACTCCACGACTATTTAAAAAGTGCCATCCGAGATAATGAATGAAAATAGGAAACAAAGGTACCACGAGGTAAGCTTCTTCTATGACCTCAGGCCAATCCTTTCTCCTCACAGAAGGGGTGGCGAACGGCCTCATTTGTCCAGTGTCGGTCAACTTGTCTGCCAGTTACCATGGCACTTGCTTGCCGGGCCTTAATTTCCCCTCGGACTGCATTGCTCTTGACTCACGTTCATTATTTTGTGCACTTTTGAAATAAAAATCCTGAGCAGCTCCGAGATTATTTTGTCCAAGTCTGAGCTCCAGTCTTTCTGCTTCATTGTCATTCCCTCTTCATGCTGTTGTGTTGCCGGTTCCTCACGATTCACGAAAATTTCACCGATCGAAAATAAAGTGAAGCAGGCAATGCGCTGGTTGGTGTAGGAGTTTGTACCTTTTTTAAACTTGTGCCAAGTCGAAAACCTCCTGCACTCTACAAGCACCTAATCACACCCTCCTTGACTGACAAAATATTTGATCGGCAAGGCCTACATTAATCAATAAGCGAAAAGCTACCCCTCCCAGAAAACGTCCAGCGGTTGACACTTTTCTCTTTGGAAGGTTATGTTAAGTATTTTGGTGGTAAACAAAGACGCCCATTGTGCGCCCCCAAGATTTTCCCCAATGTAAACCCCACGCGAATTAGACGTGTATGAAATGAATCCTCTACGACGACGCTGATTCTTCAAAGGGAATGCTTTTATTCACCGCCAGGTCAATAATTGTTTATTATGGTTAATTTAACTCAGATTCAGCTTGCCGGCTTTTTTATGCATTCTAGGTCATTATCTTCAGCCTTCGGACAGTGTGGAGCACTTTCGTCCGTCAAATTGGCAGGTGAGGGACAGTTCATTTGTCATTCGTCTGGCTCGCTGCCATCAGACAGTCAGTCAGTTTCTTGCCTGATTTGTGCTGTACGTTCTGACCCAACTGTACTTTTCTTAGCCCTCAAGGCCACCTGAGGAACAGGAAGACGTGGACAGCTGGGAGTGGGTAGAAACTCGTTCGCCCTCTTTCATTCAGACAATTGAAGCGGCTGGTTCTATTCCTTTGGAATATTTCGGAAGTTTTTGACACTCGGTTTTATTTTTTTACAGCCTTTGTGGCCATCGTCCACGCCCCCCCCCTCCTTCTCTCTCTCTCGCTCTCTCTCTCTCTCTCTCATAAACTACGACGTGGCCACCTAATATATAAAACAATTTTTAAGACAAATTCCTGCAAAAGTGGCTGCCCACATTCTACTTGGCTTCGTTATTTATGGGAAAAGAGAGTCATGTACAAAATGAAACTGAAATCAGCTGTCCGTCCTGTATTATCCATAGAACGCTATCGTTTAAACTTCCGTCATCTGATGTGAGCGATAGACATCTGATCTGGGTTGGTTAAGCGCACAGGTTTACTTCGCTGTTATGAGATCTGACGAAGTTAATCAGCCGGCTTTCGTAGTTCTCCAAAGAGCATGCGCATAAGCAGGCCGAAGTACAGCCAAAGTTGCCGCTGGTCAAAATTCTGATGCCAAATGGCGAAAAGTCAGGATCGACTGAAGAACTGCAGTAGGAAACCTAATTTATGAAAGGTGTCGAAACTTACGAATGATTGCCAGTCATTCGCAAACCGGCAACAACTCATGGATCCAATATCTATATTACTTAAGAACGATTTTAAAAGAATTAACAACATAAAAGACATATTAAAGGCGATGTTGCGTTGTTTCGAAAAGGCTACTTCTAGAAAGGCGCAAAATCCCTAAAACGTCAAAAATGGTTGTGAATTAGTAGATTTAGCTCTTAGATGTACGGGATGTTTCATCATGCAAAAATCTGCGTAAATATGAAAGCACAAACTAAATAACGTTTACGAGTAGTGTTCTACTGAAGTCTGCATCTAGATATCATATGAAAATTAGTGTAACTTCAGATATGACGGTTTGCCAAAACCCACAGTCTGAGTATAAATTCCAAAACAGTTTTCGGGGGATTCGTGGTATTCTTGATTCCTTTGGGTTAATTAAGATGCAGTTCAACAAGAGAAACGGGATTGTGCTTGATTCCACCGATGGAGACGTCGTAGGAACAAAGTTTTTCATAAGGTCACTTGCTGCCAGGCCGATCGGCGATTAATAAATTTAAATAAAATTGACAGGCGTTGTCGTAAATACACCGCTTTGCGTTTATAAAGAGAACCTTTCTTCCGTCAAATTAATTTACACTTTTCGTTTCTTCTGGATTCCGTTGAGCTTCGGATCTGTCTTGATATATCATTGCGTACTTCAAGATTTTCAGTATTTTCCCCGGTTGCCCATAAAAAGAGGTTCTGCATCATGTATCTGCTAAAAACTTTGAAATAAGATGCATACTGAAGGCATTTACCGAATTGGCGAACGTTCGGGCGTTCTTTTTTCAGGTAGAATGTCGTTTGTGTTATATTTGTAGACTCATTCAAACATAAAACGTCATCGTCGAATAAAATGGCTGACTACAACGACAAGTATTAACATGAAAAATTGCCCAAATGTACTGCAACGTCCGTTTTTGTCCAAATTTATGAATATTTTGCATGATAAAATTACGTAATCACAATTTCTACACAAGAAAAGGACATTTCCTTGAAGGGGCTGAATGATCAGGCAAAAGGCGCAACGTTTAAGGCGTCCGAAAATCCTCATATCCGTTTCCGTTATCAGGTTTCATGAGATAGGTCACGTACTGTACCTTCACGTTGCCGCCTCAGTATTGTATTTTCGCCCAGCAACTGTACTGATAAGGAAGAAGACTTTGGAAATTAGCGTCCTTTTTTGAAACATTGTTTTCCCGGAGTGAAGGTGAGCAATGCTAAGGGGATGAAGCATGCGAAATTTAATGACGACTGCTGAAGGCCATTGCAAGATGCTTACCCACATATCCGATCTACGTACCCTGGCGTCAAGGTACTTATCCCGTGTGATTGCCCTATGCTGTTTTCTCACTCAACCGCATTTTTTGTAAATACGCAAAGACTGTGTGATCAGTTGTACAAAATACAACGAACTTTTATGACGTAAATGGATCTTCTGCGTGTGCCGCCACCTTTACCTTAATTCAGTTCTAGAAGATGGAGAGTTACGTCGTTTATTAGGTCGGGACTAGAAGCCGGAAGAGAATCGCCTAATTTCTGTCATGGGAACGTCTGTCCCATGGGTCTGTAAATACCCCCAAGCGGAGGTGGATTGGTCGATTCAAAAACCAAGGGGAGCCAACTTTTAACAGCGGACATTTCCAGCCTTATAGGAGGACGCGGTTAGTCGTGGACGGCCGATGAGTAATAAATGGCCGTCCAGGTCTTTCCCCTTTCAGTCTGTGGTGTCTACCGAAGATGAAATTCTTTATCAGTCGTCTATTAGCAGTTCCTATTCAGGAATACTGTTGAAAAACTCTACTTTCTCCTCAGATGACAGAGTTTGAAGACGTTTTTTCAGGCTACTTCTTCAGACCGAGTCCATCTTACATGGTCCCGAGCCGCCGATGGCCGTTATACAGTTTTTTTTATCCTTGACTTCTAGACCTAGGTGCAGACCTACTCCGTGCCGGGCCGTGACCTTTCTTGTTATAGCATGAAATCCTTGTCAGTGTACACAGTGGACCAGGAGATGTGATGGTACCCCTAGGTGCGGCTTACGCCGTGTCGGCCGCCTGAGCTCTCTCCCAACCCCGGTCTTCTTGACACTGGGTTGATACCGAATCCAGATGGAGGAGGAGGAGGAGGAGGAGGAGGAGAAGAGAGTGCTGTACATGCAGCGCAAAGCTACTATCACTATAAACTAATTCACGCGCAAGCCACCATCCCTACTCTCACCTTGCCGCAAAGCACGCGGTAGACATCGTCAGTCACGACGGCCGAACTGTCGTCTTACCTCCCACCAGAATGTGGATGCTATCTCGCAAACACTTGGGTCGGCTACAATGATGGCGACGACGATGACGATGACGACGATGATGATGATAATAATAATAATGATGATAATGGTGGCGATGGCGATAATCATGACGGTTCCTACATTGAGCAATAAGCATTGCCTGCACCGAATATCTTTCGGCTTGTCAACATCTTTTGTGTTTCCGTCTCCGTACTTAACGCAAAAGTTTTAAAGGCTTTGCTTCGTGTTAAACGTTGGTAAAAAAAGAAAGCTGTCAAGCCGTGACAAGTGATGGAGTAAAAACGTAAGTGTTAATCTCTAAAGCATGCGTCAACCGCTACCCTAATTTATTTTGCATAATAGCCTCGGAAGGAGTGGATCTGATGTATTTTCGAGTGGACCCTGTTCGTCAGGGCGCGGCAGGACACGGTAGCAGGAACCCTCCACCTAATACAGATGGTCTTGCGTCAAATTCCATGATGATTAGAGTTGAAGCTAGGAGGGTTAGTGTTAAGGTTACGTTAAGGAACAGGATTGAGGATTAAGGTCAGTGTTGGGACACGGAAACAGGTACCCTTCCTGGAAGTTATCGCAAGGTCATCTCCATTACCGGGGGGATTGCTTCCTATTCCGATGTATTGCCTAGGGCACGTCCATTGGGACAAATTCAGGCATATGAGAGCCAAGTAGGGCGTGGTGACTTTGGTAGCAGCGCTTATTCTGCACTTTCGCCCTGCTCGACGTTGACTCGATGCGACGCATAGGGAGGTGCTCCAACTGCAAAGTTGGCTCGATGCTTAACGGTTAAATGCAGCTATTTTTTTAAGAAGAGGGACTAGCAAACAGAGATGATGTCCGGTCCTGGAAGACGTTATCGTCCTAAATAGAAACCGACCTGTAGAACTACGGTCAGACACTGGGACGTAAGACACTTTTACTTGCCCTTTCAATAGCCGTTACATATTGGTTAACCGGGCGGACTAGGCCTTGCATTATTTTTTATCTAAAAATCGCCTCTCTCCATTTTCACTGGATTTCTAGGTCATGCGATAGAGGCAGACTGTTTTGTTCGACCCAGGCACACAAATCTCACAAGCACCTGACACGGATAAAGTATCGAGGTGCAAAGTTCGCTCGGGGCGAAGATGCCGTGGGGAAGAAGAACTGTTGACATGCTCTTAACTTGGTTCCTCTACAAATACTACGCTCTTGACAGTGTGACCAAAATCCTCACCGTTATTCATAACGACTGGTGCAAGCGCTCTCGATCCTCAACGCGTCATGGTAAGCTTGCAAACATCTGCGTCCTTCAAAAATGACCTCAAAATAAGCCAGAAGAGGGTATTTGTTTGCCTCAGCAAAGAAGTCGGGAAAACTCACTGAAGGTTTCGCACTGACACAGATTTTGAGGAGGAATGAAGGGTAATAGGAAGTGTGGCTTGACGGTGTGTGGATGTGAGACGGCCCTTTCTAGGCCAAAAATAGGCACGGAAGTTTTGTGCCGTCGCCTTAGTTGTGCGTATTATGGCAGGGAAGAACGTCTCCTCTCTAAAGACCTCTTCGATTCGTCACCTTACACTTTCACTTGCGCGCGAGGCTGATTATTGGGCAAATAGGGCATAAAGAGAGCAGAAATCACCAGGCAAATCGGAATATGCAACTGGGTTGTAAAGTAAACACTGATGTAAAGGACTGGGATCCGCTGTTACACAGGCCACCCAGACTAACCAAGAGTAGATGCTATAGAATATCATAATCTTTCCCGTTGAAGGCGATGACTCAAGACGTGAGGATTGCTTAGGAAGTAAATTGTTTCTTCGCCAACATAACATCCGGCTTACATGACAATTGTTATGCAACTTCTTATTGACTGGTGTAACCACGGAATGCTAGTTAAATAGGCTAAAAACTCACCAAGATCTGGCTGTAGAGACTGGTGTACAGTCTGCTCCAAATTTCGGCAACATAACCGGAATAGACTATTTGCCCTTTCCAACCATAACTTCACCCAATTCGCTTATAAATGTCCAGCCAATTGAAATACACGACTACTTCCCTTTGCATATAATCATTCCCTCTTTATAACTAATTGGCTTGTTACGGGGGTTTACAGTGATATCGTCATTCTTCTCACATGCGGTCTCGTTTACAAGGGCAAAGAAGGATGCCGGTCGTCAGTTAA